TTCACTTCAAGAGACAATCAGAGCAATCTTGAGTAAAGGGTGAGGTAGTTTCAATTCATATCATCATGCTCATCAAGCAATGCATCCTTGTTGGATTAATTCATTTTATGCGATAAATTTTGCCCATGTCATGGGTTGTTGCAGATTAAAGATAGAGATGTCTGTGAGGCAGAGGTAATCAGAGGCAAACTTTAAAATTGTAAATATTGCTAACAAAGCACAAAGCTAATGAAGGACAACATTTGTAGAGGGGCATAGTAGCTTTTCAATATCGAATTAATCTATGAGTATAATCTGCAAAAAAAAAAACCCTCATTATTCAATGATACAATCGACAAATGATTGAGGAATAGTGAGAGAAAAGTTGAGTCCTCATGCACCATATGCCATGTCCTACTCTCTGTTTCGACGTGATTGTCAGGGCTTTTATGCGAAAAAAAGACCATAGTGAAATTTTCACATGCAGTCATTCCATGAAAGACAATGCCCTTGTGCATTATCGCTGGATTGTTAATCCAGACACCCAACTAATGTTCTGGGCACCGGGACTCGAATTGAGAGACTGGTGGTGATCATTAAACCATTGTTGTAAAACCTCATCTGGTTCACTAATTTCTTTTACGGAAGAAAATCTGTCATCTTTACCTGGTCTGGCCTACATGTGACTCCAGACCCGCCGCAAAGTGATTGATTCTTAACTGCCTTCTGGGCAATTCAGGATAGGCAATAAATGCTTGCCTAGCCAGCGATGCCCTTAACCCATTAATGAGTAATAGTAAAAAGAAAAGGCTGGTGTTGGTCTCCAAAGTACCCTTTTACAGACAAATGTGAAATTATAATTTTGTGAATGATGCCAATGCCACATTAATAATGGCGCAATTAATAATGTGTTCCTTATCGCTTTCACAGAGATTTGCTGTTAAAATAGAAACAGACAATAGTAGCAGAAGTGGGCTATGTAACCCTTTCGAACCTGCTCCCCATTCAACATTATGATAACTCATTATCACGTGGTTCCCGCATACAACCAGTTTTCTTTTGATCCCTTTAGCTCTTGGAAGCATATCTAAACATTTTTTCCAAAACATTCAGTGTTGTATTCTCAACCGCTTTCTTTGACAGAAAATTCCATAGACTTACAGCTCTGTAAGTGAATAATTTTTTTCTTTGTCGTCGTCCTAAGTGACCTACCCTGTCTCATTATTGCATTTATACTGTTTAATCACGTTAGAATTTTCTTAATTTCTACCAGATCTCCCTATTCTTCTAAAATGCAATTAACAAATTCCTAACCCACCCAAACACTCTTTATTCATTAGTCTTGCCATTCCAGGAATCAGTCCAATAAATCATCATTGAACTCCCTCCATTACTAGAACAATCTAGATAACAAGGACAAAACAGCAAAACAATACTCCAGTGGTGGTCTCACCAAGGCCCTGGATAATTGCAGTAAAATATTCCTGCTCCTGTACTGGAAACATTCACTACGATGCCTGTCACAGATGCTGTCAAGCAGCAAGTCGCAGTGACTTGAGAGAGGAACAGATGAGTCAGGAATCCCAGAAACAGAGGCAAATCGGAACAGATTCAGAGCAACCTGTACATGAGGACGACACAGCTAAACTTCCCGTCAGGATTTGCAAGAAATACTGTTTCTATCATTCTAGATTCCATCTCCACTCGGTAAGGTAGGCCTACCTTCGGTACAGGTTGACAATGTCCCATAACATTGTCAACAAATTACGCACAATGTTGCAGTGACCTCATGTGTTAGGACCATCCTACCTCGGTGGCCATCAAGACGACAAGCAGATGGACATTTTATATGTCGGATCCTTCCACAAAAACACTGCGGACCAGTGCAATATCTTCAATGATCCATCCATGCATAACATAAAGCTGCTAATGATGCAATGCATGCCACATCATAGTGCGTCGCTGTAACCCGAGCCGTCAGATTCAGCAACAGAGACTTCCTCCAGATGCGAACCACGATAGATTGTTCACACATCGTGTCAAGAAGCTCATGTCATAACGCAGCTGAGTTTATAATAGCAAGACATCTATGATTGCTGGCGCAGTTGCTTAGAAGTTTAAGTGAGTAACTGCTACTTTTGAAAAGCCACATGCATTGCAGAGACAGTTGGAGACGGACAAGGGTTAACCTATGCAACCATGGTTGATGTCTCTGCTATGCAGACCCTTACTGAAACAGATCATAGAAACAATGCTGCCATTCTTTGAGCATGGTCATGGCAGAGCAGACGATAGACTTCTGAAAATGACCTTTGTTTGTCTAATTAGTCTTGGAGTGGGCGGGAGTGGTTGTTAGGGTGCTCGTGTCAGAGGCAGTACCACATGGTTGAAAGTGGTTATCAGTCGACATATTATGGCTGAGGAATAGTTTTTTTTACAGGAACTGCAGTTTCTATAGTTCACTATTGTGAGTTAAACTACAAACTAAAGTAATTAACTGCCTTCATTACAGGAATATATCCAAGTTAACGAGGTGAAGATAACAAACAAAAAGTCGCGTGAAATATATGCAATTGGCCTTGTGTGTCAAAAGCAGACGCAACGACTTGTGTAGAGACAGTTAGATAAGGTACAACTATGAGGAACGCCGAGGAATCTTCCAAAGCCTTGTACTCGTCTTTGAATAGAAGGGAAGAAGCTGACCCACTTCAGTAAATATTGTCGGATAATTGTAGAGTGTGTCAGATATTAAAATGGAATTTTACGTGGACAGCATCAAATGATTTAACAAGACTTCTGTGGATATTCAGTTTAAAGCAGATAAAAGAAGGCCTGCCACTGCCTATCAGCAGGCATATAGTTTAACTGATGCAGGAGCTAAGTACGGGATGTGGTTGAAAAAGCTGCACTGTGAATGCCCAAGAATCATTGGTAAGGAGGAGCTGGAAAGCATCATGAAGTCAGGCAGTCACATGATCAACCTGATTAGTTGTACATGTAATCAACAATACGATTGCCTTCTGACAGGCAAGGCCAGCTAAAAGCAAATATATAAAATATATGTTTATTTTTTCAATGGAGAAGTCATGGACTGCCAGAGGCTATCTCCCCGCTGCTGTAAAACAATGAACATTTTCATGCTTAAAGGGGACCTTTAAGTGTTGAGTGATTCATTTAGTTATTCAGTCTGAACAGAGGTGTTTGAAGTGCACCCTGGAAAGCGTCTACTAACTGGAGTTGTGCATGCAATGGATGCTGAAGATCTGCGAGTAGGTAAAAATATTTCGTGGAGGATGAGGACATTGAAAAGGAGGAATGCAATATTTTGCATGCCAGACCGTAGTAGCATCAAGCATGATAACCAAAAACAGTTACCCCGTTATAATAGCTGATAGTTGAGTGAAGAGAGTATTCATTGACTGAAATATTGGTGTTTGACATGCAAGAAATCTGATTTAGTTCCGAAAATAAAATGAAGATTCTGACATTTTTGTATGTTTTGTTTGCGATTGCTGAAAAAAAAGTGAATATATTTTAATGCTTGAAATCTTACCAATACGAGAGTCACCGATATTAAATAATGACGAGATGCTTTGCAATCGTGTGAAGTGAGGAATAAAATAAGTGGAAGCAGCATACAGGATTTTGGGAGAAAATGTGACTAAGGACAGGAAGGTCTGATGTTCTGAGGAAGGTCACCAGACCTGGAATATTAACTTTGATTTTTCTTCACAGATGCTGTCAGAATTGCTGAGCTTTTCCAGCAACTTCTATTTCTGTGTGTGACGAAGGACAGTTGCGCAGTGTGATCTGGTGCTAAACAGAGATTCAGATAGGAATGTGCAGTTTCACCGACAAAGATGTGTCAGTAGTCACTACTACGTGCTGGGAAAGGCATTGCTTTCTTTCTGCTGTGTCATTAAATTGATGGTCAAAAACACCTTTTCACTGTTAGCACTTAATCTGATGCATGGTTTGCCTGAGATGACTGGTGGTGGAGCAGTAATGCTTCGTTAAAATGACACAGCACAGTCCAGTAGTATAGTCACCTGAGGAAAACATTGCGGAGATGGAGATGATGGGATACTAACCATTCTCAAAATTAACTGAGTGAAGTATGTTTGCATTCTGAATTTCAACTGAACTGCGACTAACAGAACGGAAACTAAGTGCTCATGATGCAGAATTAATGTTGCAAAATAACAATGCTTTCAAAAGCTAAGTAGAAAAAAAGGTGTAGTTGCTGTAAATCAGGAACAAAAACAGAAGTTGCTGGAAAGCCTAAGCAGGTCTGTCAGCATCTGTGAAGAAAAATCAGAGTTAACGTTTCGGATTCAGTGACACTTCCTCAAAATTGATAGTAGCTAAGAAATTGTCGGTTTATATGCAGAACATAAGGTGGGAGGAGGAGGTAAGCAGTAAACGGTAGTTGGAGATAGAGTCCCGAGAGAGAGGAACTGTTTGATAGACAAAGGAGTTGGTAATGATCTGATTGTTAATGGATGCTTTTGACTAACAATAGGTAATTTGTAATGGCAGGCTGTGTGGTAAGAAAACCTGGTGTGTGGGGCATGGGCCTCCGTCATGGCAAAATTCAGGCCCTGAAATTATTGAACTTGCTATTGAATGCGGAGGGCTGCAGGGTCCCCAAGCAGAAACTATACTTTGTACCTGTCCTGCCACCTTTAATGATCTGTTTACTTTGTCGTTTTTTTTGTCTTTCTTTTTTCATGACTCACTTTATTTTCAACATCATAAGCTAGAAGTCCCATTTCAAAACGTCTACGATGTCACATTCTAACGACATGCCCTAACTACATGTGCTGATTGAGCTGTAGAATTTTATCATTTTTCTCTTTTTTTCTTGGTTCTGTGATCAACACATTTATGTTATTCAGACTCTGTCTTATAGATAATTTATTTGGACATATGTTATCAAGTGACACAAAATTAAGTTGACGAAGATATAGAATCATACAGGAGTAGTTTATTAGCATTTCGAATCAAAATTAAGGGTTGCAGTAGGTTGTAAAACACTCCCAGTATAGAACGAAGTAGTATCTTTAAATAACTCGGTGCAAATTACTAAAACGAACCCGTGTTGAATGCTTCTACTTTTTAATCATTGTAAAGTCAGTGTCATCACTTTCCAATTCAGCCATTATGAGCATGCTATTATATTTCACTTTTTATGTCGATTAATAATATATGGAGTCCAAACGGAAATAAAAATGATCTTTGCATTAGGAGGCAAAGCGGTCGACGAGACACAAGTTAGCAGCGACCCTAATGTTGAATGTTCTGTGATCTTGTCCTCTGCTCTTCTGAGAACTCTGTGTAGGAAACATAAGAAGTGAAGACGCTGATAACATATCGAAAGCAGATTAAGTATTATGAAGAAGGGGGACTTGGTGGTGGTATGGCGAACTGACCTCTACATTGCTGTGGCCAGATGCCTACTGTCTGACATCTCCTCTTACCATTCCCTCGATCATGACCCCATCTCTGATCACCAAAATATCATCTCCCAGATAATCAACAAACTCGTCACTTTGGGAGATTTTTCATCCACAGCCCCGAATCTGATAGTTCCACAATCCCACACCACACATTTCTATTTCCTTCCCAAAATCCGTAAACCCCACTGCTCCGGTCGACCTATTGTCTCCGCCTGCTTCTGCCACACCGAGCTCATCTGCTCCCACCTTGACTCTGTTCTTTTCCCTTTGCCCAAGAATTCCCTACCTACATTCGTGCCACAACCCACGCCCTGAACTGATGGAAGAACTGGTTCTAACCCTCAACAGTTCCTTCCTCTGATTCCTCCGACTCTCTATAAGGCAAAACGGTGGCCTTGGGCGCCCACATGGGCCCGAGCTATCCCTATCTCTTTGGAGAATTCGTGGAACTGTCCCTCTTCCACAACTGCACTAGCACCATTCCTCACCTCTTTCACTGCTATATTGATGACTGCATTGGCGCTGCCTCGTGTTCTCATGAGGAGCTTGCGTGGTTCATTAACTTCACCAACACCTTCTACTCCGCTATAAAATTTACCTAGGCCAATTCTGACATCTCCTTCCACTCCTGGGCCTCTCTATCTCCATCTCTGGAAATAGACTCACCACTGTCATCTATTTCAAGCCCTGTGACGCCCACAACTACCTGGACTATACCTCCTCTTAGCCACACTGCTGTAAAAATGCTATCCCATACTCTCAATTCCTCTACCTTCGCAATATCTGCTTCAGAAATCCCAGATATCCTCCGACCGTAGGAACCAGAAATTCCAATCCTTTGAAATTAAGATGCGCTCAACAGTGATTCCTCCATTTCCTGTACTTCTGCCCTCAACCCCATTTGCCTCAACAAAAGTAAGGATAGACTTCCCTGAGTTCTTGCGTATCACCTCACCAACCTCCGAATCCAATGCATCATCCTCTGACAATTCCATCACCTACAATCAAACCACTTCACCAAAAAGATATTTCCCTCTCCACCCCTGTCCTCTTTCCACAGGGGCTGTTCCTTCTGCAAATCCCTTGTCAGCTCTACTCTCTCCACCACACCTCCCCTCTCAGCTCCGTCCAATGCGCCGAAGAATCCGCCCAGATCCGGCAGAAATTCACCTGCACTTCATTCAAACTGACCTATTGTGTCTTTTGATCCTGATCTGGTCTCCTCCTCTATACCAGGGAGACAAAATGTGAACTCGGGGAATGGCTCACAGATCGCCTGCAGTCTGCACGCACAAACCAAACCAACTTTCTGGTTGCCATCAAGTTTAATCGCCCCTCCCACTTCCGTGATGATATGACTATCCATGCCCTCCTCCACTGCTCGAATAAGATCAAACATGAACTGGAGGAACAACGCCTGATATTTCGCCTTAGGAGCTTATAGCTCAATGGCTTCAATATTTACTTTACCAGCTTTAAAATTCCTCCACCTCCAGCTTTAGCCCACGTCCAGGCCACCCCTCCTCCTCGCTTCCCTGACCTAACCTGCTCATCCGCTCCATCCTTCCCACTGACCAATCACAGTAACCCCCTTCATGCATCAACCTATCACATCCCACCCACCCTACCCCTCCTCAGTCCTGACGAATGGTTTCAGCCCAAAGCGTTGACTTTCCTGCTCCTAAGATACTTTCTGACCTGCTGTGATTTTCCAGCTTCACATCTATTGACTTATGAATATGTAGTTCGATAATATGTGTCAATTTATATAACAATATTAACACGTTACTGAATCGATTGCAATCAACTTTAATGTGAGTGAATATAATCAGATGTTCAATTTTTGGTACGTCTTTGTATCTTTCCTTATGAGCACTTATTACATTTTTTTTGTTGGCAAGGTTGTGTTGTACACATAAAGAAATTAATATAGCATGCAAAATGTAATTGCAGGTTCTAAAACCAGAGCAATATATTTATCTCCAAACAGAATGAAATCACAACCAACAGTACTCATTTTTCTACGTTCGGAATATGTTGTTGAAAAGATTATATTTAAATGATTCAATATTCACTCATGTACGTGTACCATGTGGCATCGCATCCTGATAGGATCTGTTTGTCTAATTGCCTGCTTCAAGAAAGTCACCACCATAGGGACTTGAAAAAAAAACAAATGCCAATAACGGTCAGAGTTCATACAATTTACACTTCACAATTCTGCACGAATGACAAAGTCTTGTTAATGTAGCTTTCAACTTGTCCACAAGTGAAGTAGTTAGGAACTTCCAAAAAAGTGTTCAAAATCTTGGGAGTGCACATCCGCCTAAAGTAAGTTGTCCTTCTCAACTACATAACACTTAAAGTCTGTTATACTTGAATTTAATCTCATATTGCTTTCCAAATTTAGTTCTCTGTGTTATATAAAAGCCACTCGCTACCATTATCACCCGCATTTCCTGAAGTTACTTACTTGCTTCTTTCAATATTGAATGTTGTTACATGATGAGCACTTACCTTTCACTCTCTTGTCTTCTCTGTTTGGACATATTCGCTCACGATGGTTGAGTTATCGAAACCTGCAGTTGCAGGAGTGTACACACCGTTTCTTCGAAGTCTTGAAAGCTTTTCACATACTTTAGAAAGAAAATATTTAATTGTGCACCATAGTTTTGATCCTATTCCTCTTTTCTGAGTTAAACATATACACACTTTGTATTTACACAGAGACGGTGACCAATCCAAATCTGCCTGATAGATGTATCTCTGGCTGAGATACGTTTTTGTCTCGCTGTGATATGCAATCGCTGCATATATTATTTCAGGTTTGTATTTCCTGTAAACAATTTCTTCAACAGAAAGTTCAAAATTCAACGAAATGTAAACTATCTCTAGACAATTGGGGCACAGAAATCTCCATCTGTCAAGTAGAAGTTTAAACTTTGATGTATTATAGGTATCATCAATCATAGAATCCCCACAGCTTGGAAACAGGTGTTTTGGCCCATCGAGTCCACATTGAACCTCCAAAGAGCATCCCATCCGGACCCACGCAGCTACTCTCTGTAACCCTGCATGTCACGTGGCTAATCCACCTCGCCTTCACATCCGTGGACACTGTGGGTAATTGAGTATGGCTAATTTACCTAACCTTCGCATCTTTGGACAATGGGAGCAAGCTGGAATCCCTGGAGAAAACCCACACAGACACGTGGAGAATATATAAACTCCACACAGACAAACACCTGAGGCTGGAATCGAAAATAGATTTCTGTGAGGCACCAGTGCTAACCATGCATCCAACATGTCGCCCACTGTGACTCTGTTCCAAGGTAAATATCTGGAGGTGAGGGATAATGATTCTTAGACATGAGTTCACTGTTGCAGATTCGGATTTCAAAATCAGTCATGAGTGAAACCTGGAATACAAAGTCTCGGATTCAGAATGACCTTACTCCACGTCGCTATTCATTTTTTTCTTTTGCTAGTTGAATTAAACACTTTAAAACAGGCTATTGGTCATGATGTCACAATTGGTTACCATGCAGACAAGCGACAGTTTGTCCGATTCATGAATTCTCTATGAATTGACCTAGCGAGGATTTACTTACTTATGTACTGAAAAGTATATTGTATTTATTTAAAAAAGAAGGAAGCTCGTAGTACGTTTAACAACAATGGAAACTTGAGACCTCAGAAGAAAATTCGAGATTGAAATATAATTATTGTAGTGGTGATGATGATAATAAAAACAATTGTAAGAACAACAACGATATCAATGAAATATTTCCAACTCAGCAACAATAATAAATTACATTAAAATAAAGAGCAAATGCAATGTAAAGAACATTAGGAAATATGAATCATGATTTGGAGTACCCACCCTTCTATTGCTACTGCTTTAGCCATTAACATGCTTACGCCTGACTTTCATTTTCATGCATTATTTTCATATCCTTTATAATCAGGGATAAAAATTCGATCTGAACCACAATCGTATTCATTGATAGAGCTTTCATGGTAATCTGAGATGAAGGCTTTCAAATATTCACAGCTGTTTTACTAAATGAATCTCTCCTCATTGCGGACCCTTTAACCAGAAAAACTTTGTGTTGCATTATTTCCTTGTGACTGCCTTTTCAAGACCTTCAAAACTTTATATGTTCAAAGAGATCACTTTCTGCTCTTTTAAAATCTACCAAATATAGTGAAAAATTAATCAGACTGGTATCAAGGGATATCCATCTCACTTTAGGAAGTGTTTTCTTAAAAAAAAACAACTGGTTGAACCACGGTTAAAACTAGTATGCATTGCCTTCTGTAGGGGAAATAAAATTTCGCAGAGCGTTCCAATCGCAATCTCAGAGAAGCCCTATGTAATTCTATTAAATCTTCTGTATTCCTACATTTCAAACCATTGCCAATAACGTGCCAAACACATTTGGCTTTGTAACTGGGTGCCTCATCTGCATGCTAATTCCTTGTTCAGTTATGTATACAGAAACTTATGTGACCCTGAAAATCGAAACAAATAATCACGATTTAAACGTAGTCTCCTCCTCCATGCTAACCACCAAATTGAATAATTACATGCTTCGAGAGGTTATTTTGATTCTCTTACTACGTGTATGCATTTGATCTTATTTGCCTTTGTCTCTGTAGAATCCTAGCTTCCTACTCATTGACTGAATTTCGATTGTGTTTATTCTACAATTTCCATAGATTACTCTCTGTGTTTTCCTGTAAGTAATTATTTTAGATTTTCAATAAAATCAGCCCCATCAGTGACCTCTCTGAAATTCCACTAATTGTATGTCTACCTGGAAATGCGCTTTCTTTCTTACTTTCTTTCTTCCAGTCCATCAAATGACAGCACAATTGCTAAGAATCAACCGAACATCAGAAAATATGTATCATCTCGTTTCAGATTGACTTCTGTTAAACCCAGATATCCAACAAATTCACTGCTGAACCTTATGGTTGTACAAATGAAGTATCCACTTCGACAACATATACTGAGGAACATTGGGCCAGAAGACATTTTATCACGTATTGTCAGAGCATAAAATTATATAAGTTAGAAACTTACTCTTCTCGCATCCAATCCACGTGCAAACTATCAGAATACGCAGGAGGATCGATAGAGCCAGGGATGCGAAAGCTATTCCGATATAACTCCCTACACCGGTAATGTGAAAGAAACGTATTCAATCGCAATAAGATACATATGAAATGTCGAGTCTAAAGCGAAAACAAATCAAATACTAATTATAGTTCCCGACTGTGTGGCAAGGAAGTACAAATATAAATTAAAAATCTGTTTCAGTTTAGAAGAACATGACACAATTCCTCATAGTAACATTATTAGAAACCATGTCAAACTTAAATTAGAAAAATAAAATAATTCTTCCTCAAAGAGTTGTATTGGAAAGAATACTTTAAAACAACAGAGACAAATGAAAGCAGTGTCCTTATGTTTCAGGATGTAATTGGAGATCCTTCAAAGGAAAAGCCGATAATGGTCATATTTAATGCAATACGCTGCCTTCAGAGAACAAGGAGTTATCTGGAAAGAATTGCACGGGAGCAGAAGCCTCAATCGGGAGTCATTACATAGCATAAGCATTTGGAAAACAAAGAGCGAAAAATCACTTGGCGCCAAGAGCCATCACAACTGAATGCAATTGGAAATTTTAAAAAAGATTTTCAGTTAAACCAATTCGCAATATGGACCAGTTGAACAAACAATAGTGCATGTTGGGAGAACTCTTCAGGGATGGAAAGATACGCGTTGGATTAAACTAGCATGGTGCCTCACACATTGTCCCCATGACATGTTGTGATTCCAAATGTACATTCACTAAGTTTTCTGAAAAATCAAGGGATCGATCAGTTTACTACACACAGAGCTGACCTATTGACATTATGTTATAAGACAGACCGTTTGGGTCTCAGCATGAAGAGCATCTGAAATAACAAAGTGCCACGTTGACCCATAGTTTTCAATAAACTTGTGCCAAATCTGTAATGTCAACTTGTCGAGAAAAAAAGTATTCTTCAGGATTATTGTTCTAAAGTTGTTCTAACACTGGATTGAATGTTCTAGATGCAAGGTTGGTGGCTTATAAATCAGATTAAAACAAAGCATGACGCCCAAGCATGGGCCAGTTTGGTAGAGTCACGACAGATTTTATCGTAGAATCCCTACAGTGTGGAAACAGGACATTCGGCCCAATAAGTCCACACCGCCCAGACCCATTCCCCTACGCCTGCCTTTCCCATGTCTAACCCACCTAACCTTAACATCCCTGGGCACTATGGACAATTTAACACAACCAATCTGCCTAACCTGCACATCTTTGGACTGTGGGAGGAAACCGGAACACCTGGAAGAAACCCACGCAGGGAGAATGTGTAAACTCCCCACAGACAATCACCCAAGGTTGGAATTGAACCCGGGTCCCCCCTGCTGTAAGGCAGCAGTGCTAATCTCTGAGCCACCGTACCACCCCTTTTCAAAAAAATGTCAGACAGGGCAAATGAAAAGAAGAGACATAAGTAACAGATAGGATTTAGATTGATTCTGGAGGCTCGGTACAGTTTCTGAAAAAGCTGGATACAAGTTGACATGAACAGTGATGATAAATGATTGGCAAGAATGATGAAGTTGATCTTGTACAGGGCGAAGAGGAAATCATTTCTTTCAGTCGGAATTAACCCTGCCTGCGAGAAAAAAGCTTCACTTTGGGATCACACTCCAGGTCTTGGTTGTCAAGTAATCGGTGTGGCCTAGGAGATTGAGTGTTAACTTGTGCATCTTTCAAACACATGAAAATGGAATGCAACAACAGTTGGAGAAATCTTATTCAAGCAAGTAGAAGAAATACCATCTACATTTACCGGCATTTTCCGCCTTTCCAAGCAAAAAGACACATGTTAAAACATGTTTTGTCATGGTAACTCGGATTCCAAGAGTGATTTGTAACACAACCATCATGTGGATTTTCAAAATGTGTTCAATAAATGTGAATAACATCCTTGTCAGCAAATGTGAAGACTTTAGAATAAAGTAAGCAAGGAAAGTTCATCTCTTATCCAGAGATGGCTGTACCAGAGGACAGTAAAATATGATTATTTTTCAGAATCCTGGAAGTTATGCAGGAGGAGTCACGGAAGATCAGTATTGGACTTCATGTGTCTTCGACTTCTTGATCATGGCACAAAGGTGATGTAATTTTCTTTGCGGAATAAGAGACTTCGGCAGGTTTTTGGAAAAGGTTTTTGAATTGCACACAGATAAGTGAGTACCTGTTGTTTTTTTGGTAGGAAGGGAAAACGAAAGCAAAATGAAAAAAAAACATATTTATGAAGCTCAAAGGTCATATTAAGGCAAATTACCCGGCATGACAAAATTAGTTATGGTTGACTTTATGTTTTAATATTTGATTCCAGTCTTTGCAAATGAAAGTCTAAAATTCAAAACTAATCAAGAACTTCATTATAACATTTGTGGAATATGTCTTCAGCCTCAGTTGCACGATTTGGTTCAATTCTTGGCAGCAAAAAAAAAAAAAAACAAGAATATGAATACATTATAGAAAGCACAGACAGGATTTATGAGAATTTCCCCAGGGAAGGTTTGTTTCAGTTTCTTGGATAGTTTAGAGAAATTACGGCTGTTTACATCTGGACATAAGTTTTAGAGAAATTAAGAAAGACATTTAAAATCAAAAATAGCCAGAAAGACGCTGTTATAAATGACAAAGTCACGAGAAAGTTAAGACAATGACGCAATTATATTTGTGCAATATCTGGAATCGGGAATATATGGTCTGCAAGTATGTAAGGTGAAAAGGGAATGGTGGAAAAGATAGGTACGATCAGCAGCATGGAGGCCAATAGTCTCAAAATTTATGTCGTCGGATCTGATTTGGCCTATGGTGGATCTCTTAAATAACTGGATACACGTAATATATTGCGGGACCATTATCATTCTCAATCTTAGTATCAACAGTATGAAATTAAACCTGATACCAGTGGTGAAAGCCCAACCACACTCAATCCGTCCAATATAGCAGAACAAAGTAACATTGTGTTACCCCGCTGTGAATCTGCAAATTGCATCCCATTCATCTACAAACTCTACTTTAGAAAGATTCATAGTGAATCGTGGTGTATTGGCCGTTTCTCTGGGCAGATTACGTGGCCTGATCCAGGATAGAGTGCGGAATAAGAGATTACGACTGTAGAAATATTTCAAAATAATGAAATTCCCAGATTTGGAGGATTTGTGTGATAATGATGCATTCCCTCTAGCTAAAGCATATGCTGAAATGTCGCGGTCTATATTTTAAAGCATTGGTTAATTCGTTAGCCCCAAGATTGCATTCATTTTCGAAGGAAGTGTGCAAGCATTTCATTATCCTTGGTTTTGCCCACGGATAATCTACGATTCTGGTCTGCTTCCAGGAGTTATTCAATATCCAGAAAGCACAGAATACATTTCTTTCCCAGAAAATTAGAAGTCACTTATACATAACAAGTCAGCGTGCGACTTGTCTTGCAATCAGAATTGAGGATAAATACTGATGCAGCCAGAGGGAGAATTTCATCTCGGACTGATTTGAATGTAAATGTTTGCCTGTCGTACGGTACAACTGACACTCAGTTGCATTGGACTGAGAAAAGTATGAATATCAAACATTGCCTGTCACAGATAAGTCATGGAATTCTTCAAGAGAAGCTCAAATGAATGTCTAATCCTGAGCATTAACGATAATTGTTAGTTTTCCTAACGTCATTTAACAGAAAAAAATGCACGGATACAAAATAAATGACAAAGTGGAATAACATTAGCATAGTTTTAAAAAGAGAGATCAAGACAATGTAAGTATTAAAATATCTCCAATAACAAATAGAATCTGATTAAAGTTACAGAAATTATTTTGCAGTACTAGATAAGATTCAATGTGATAAAAATGTACTTTGCATTCCAGTAAACTCAAACGTAAATGGGAATGTCAGAACTCTAACAGGCAGTTTATGAGCAATTACTACCAATCCATGTCCATCCTTGTAGAATTTGTAAATAAGTAACTTTTGACTGTTGTAGTGTTGTAATGTTTGTGGAGAAGTAAAGCAACTCGGGAGCACTGAAAAATTAGATGCATTTGTAATCAGTTAGCCATCTGTTTCTGGTGTTCCTCTGGCAAACCACAAGAGTTAGGGTAGTAATAATTTCCCGTTGTACCTTCCTGAAAAAAAAAACGAGAACAATGAAGAAAAAGGAAATTGCTGTAAACTTCTGTACCTAGATGCAACTCCTGTGTCACGAAAGGTAGCATGAAAATATTCTGATAAAATTACGTGATCAGTACTCAGTCATATTATGTAAAACGTTAGATTATGCTGAACATAACTACGTATTTTTTTAAATTCTCTGGTATTAAAGAAAGGAACGCTTCCAAGTTATTTTTAAACAAGTTTTCCTTTTCAGTTGGCCTCATTTACTTCGATACAAATTGTGGTTATATGCAGTGTCATGCATCTCAAGAATCACCAGACATTCATCTTGTAAAGTTTCTTTTATGATTTCGGTAAAGTGAATGAAAACAACAAAGGCGTTTGGGTTTTGTTGTTTTCAATGTTCTTATGAGAATCTAGATTTGCCTTGCACCACATGAAACAGTTTATGGTGCAAACTCTCTCTGTTTTCACTCAGCTGCAAATACATTTCTTTCCTTCATCCCATTATCCCTTTCTCGCCACCTTGCCATTTGCTTCACGTGTGGTACAGCTCTTACTTTTTACTCCTGCTGAAGTGATGTCGATCTGAAACATTAGTTTTGTCTCCTTCTCCAAACTGTATGTTGCCTGACATGTTGTACATGTCTGGCATTGTATATGTTTAATTCAGATTTAATTCTGCAATAATTTGCACAGGTGCGAAAGTACCTAATGAATTTGGTTATTGCTAGTGAACAGTAGTTAATTTTTTTTAGTTACAATACTCAAGGAAGTGGAATACAGCTGTAGTTTAGAAATATTCATATCAATATATGATTGCAGTAACTTATAATGAACAATAAATTTACCAGATAATCATTTATCACCAGATTATCATTTTTTCCTTGTCTGAGTTACAAGCAACAAAGGTATCAAATGAATTCTTTGTATTTGA